GTTATTTAGCTTAATGAAAAGTAAAAAGAAAAAAATGTATTGTGCTTTTATTGACTTCGCTAAAGCCTTTGATAGTGTATGGAGAAATGGATTGTATCAGAAATTGCTTGGACACGAAATTAATGGTAAAATTTATAACGTAATATTCAATATGTATAGTGGTATTAAATCAAGAATTGTATATAATGGTCAATCATCTGACTATTTTCCTTGTAATATTGGTGTAAGACAAGGAGAAAATCTCTCTCCTTTTTTATTCTCCCTATATCTGAATGATTTGGAATCTTTTTTACAAATGCATGATGTTTTGGGACTAAGCTGTATATCTGAAGAAATTGAGAATGAGATGAATATTTATATTAAGCTTTTTGCTTTATTATATGCAGACGATACTGTTCTATTTGCTGAATCAGTTGAATCTCTTCAGTCTCAACTTAATACATTTAGTGAATATTGTAAACTTTGGAAACTTAGTGTAAATTCTAGTAAAACGAAAATTATGATTTTTTCTAGTGGACGTTTATCGAAAAATCCTCATTTTTATTTTAATAATATTGAATTAGAAGTTGTCAAAGAAATTCCATATTTGGGATTGACTTTTTCGAGGACAGGTAGCTTTGCAAGTACTAAAAAGATATTAGTTACTAAGGCATATCGAGCTATGTACGATGTACTTAAAAAGGGGAGAGTTCATAACCTTTCTGTGAGATGTCAGTATGATTTGTTCGATAAGATAGTGAAGCCTATTTTACTTTATGGGTGTGAAATTTGGGGGTTCAGTAATATAGATATTATAGAGAGAGTACATTTGAAATTTTGCAAGCTACTACTGAACTTGAAGAAGTCGACCCCAAACTTTATGGTTTATGGCGAACTTGGTGTCTATCCCATGGCAGTCTACATTAAACTGCGTATGGTAAATTATTGGTGTAGAATTGTTCACGGCAAAGAAAATAAGTTGTCACACATTTTGTATAACTTTATGTTTTTTAAATATTCACAGAATAATTGTACGTCTGAATGGGTTATTTTTATAAAAAATATTCTTGAAACATGTGGCTATAGTAATATCTGGTTAGCACAAACTGGCTTTAACACAAAATGGCTAAATAATAGTTTAAAACAGAAGTTATTTGACCAATTTCAACAAAACTGGCGTTCAGATATATGTAATTCGTCAAAAGGTTTATCGTACAGATTATATAAGGATAAGTTTGAATTCGAAAAATATTTAGATATATTACCAGATAGAGATAGGGTTATATTTTGTAGATTTAGAACTGGTAATCATAGATTACCAATTGAAACTGGTAGATGGATAGGTTTAGATAGAGAAAGGAGATATTGTAATTTATGTCAATGTCAAGAATTAGGTGACGAATTTCACTTTCTTCTGAATTGTAGATCCCTAGACGACTCAAGAAAACTGTTTTTGGATAATTGTTATTGTAACAGAGTAAATGTAATTAAATTTTGTAAATTATTACAAACAACACATAGAAATAAGTTAAAAAATATATGTAAATTTATAAAGGTTATAAATTCATTAGCAGGTCTTCCTGGTTAGCCTTTGTCTATCTGTTTTTCTATTATAATAACTAAATGATCTTGTATAGTAATTGTAACATTCATATCTTGTCATGTGCACAATTTATTTTGTATACTATGTATTATTATTTCATTCTTTGTACCAATGTGTATACAATGGTTTTAAAGAATAAAATTGTCTTGTCTTGTCTTGTCTACAAACTATTCCAGTTTTTGCATATTTTAAAAAAAAACTGTAAAAGTGTCAGGCTTATCAAGCAAAAGACAATTTCTGCATATACATAGTTGTTTTTTCAATGGAATTGTTGTCTTTTTACCAATAAAAAAATCAAGCTTGTGGGAAAAACATCAAGAAAATGTTATAAACACTTATTAAAGTGATTACATTTTAACTTCTAAAATTACTTGTTTCAGTGATTTTAAAAAGTCTGTGTGAAAATTTTTAATATTTCACAGCCAAAATCACTCCAGGGAGTGATTCTGAAATCACTTGTTTAAGTAGTACCCCTGACTGATTATCATAAAAATTTTATTCTTGAAATCACTTGACAATAATTAGATCAGGAAGACTGCTTTCAACATTCTATTAAATATAATATATATCATTAATAATTGAATATTTACAGATTCTAGCTACCACCTGATTATATAAGATAATTCAATTAAATGTATTTGATGTCTCAGGTGTAATAATTTAAATGACATGTTAATGGGTGATTACCACAAGTGTCAAAATTGGTTAATCTAATTAAATTTCGGTACTTTAATTGTGTCGGTGAACTTGCTATGGTCAACATTAATTTTGGACTAAAAAATATCAGCTTAACAAATTACTTCATGTATCTAAACATTTTCAAAAATGAATTAAAATTACAAAAAAAAATAAAATGTATTTAAAATATAAATGTCACAAATATAAATATATTATGGTTTTAATAGCTAGGGGTTTTCAGTATGCTCCCAATTTATATTGGCCATTCAGTTGGGGGCGTAGCGTTAATGAGTCGACCCTAAATAGAAAAATTAAATTTTATTTGAATAATGAATGTCAAATTATAAAAAGAATTAACAATAACACGATAATGATGTCTGAAGTATTATTATTTCGAAGTTCTGTGGTGTTCTGTGGTAAAAAGACGCTCCCACGGCTGTTATGCAGACAAGCCGGTAGGTCTATTCACCGCAACACCCCCCCCTTCCCCCTTCCCGCTCACCGCAAGACTCCACTGAACACCCTAAAATAATCTGAAACTGAAAAAAACAATATTTTTGTTATGTTATCTTATCTATTTAACGTATTGTAGTAAAAAAGTTAACAAATAAAAACGACCAATTAATAACACCTAGGTAGATTGATAAAAGATGTAAATAGCACATAAGTTTAAACACTTGATTTTAAAAATTCACAGTCTTACCTGTATATAAAGATTTTTAAACTTAAGCACCCCAACGCACTGTGTAAATATCCGTGTAAATATTTGATCAAGCATTAAACTCATATATCCCAAGTGGGAGTGTTCCGATATATAATGGAGGAAAATACTTGTACAGAACAGAACACCATACAGGTACATGCATGACATGTGAACCTCCCAACGGGAGTACAATTATCCCGTCAGGGGTCTCGTCCCGTCCTCCCGTTGAAGAGAAAAAAATCCCGTAAATGAAATATTTCATGAATGAAAACTTTCAGCCGCCATTTTTGATCATTTCTTACTACGATGTTTATTATTGAAGAGGTAAAAACCCGAGAGTACTGAACATAACCCGTGTAACTGACATTACCTGAAGTTAAATTTAACCTGTAAATCAAAGAACATGCATAATTATATGGCTTCACTTGCCAGCTTGGGTGTCAAACATACTGGAAATTTTTTTTTTTTTTTTTTTTTTTTTTATTGAAAGTAAATATCTTTTATTACATATCTGCTGTTTTAACAATTTACTCGGATTACAGCGTTAGCCCGAGTATCCCTGTTATTAGTTACTGAATTTCCAGGGAAAAAGTTCAGTAAAAAAATTAGTCAATTATTAAAAAATATTACATATACATTCTTTAAAATACAGTGTATACATATAAAGTATCGAATTCTGTGGTATAAATCACGGGTTTACGGAACATCTATTTGTTCCGAAATGTTATTCATTTTCCCATATTTATAATCAATCATTGACACAGTGATTTTGTACTTGACCTTTTGTGCTGGATTAGTTAACCTGTTTACTAATTCATTGTCCGAAAACTAGTGCCAAAAAAGCACATGTTTGTAGTTAACAAATTGTTGGATTAGATTAAACTAGTTTGGTAAGTATTATATATTATACTGGTAATCAACGAGTTTTACCTCAGGCTAACTGCCATTGTGTGATAAAAGCTTTGTGTATTTAAAAATAATTGAAATACATTTTGGGTTACTTCCCTTGTTTTATCCTGTTTTAAGTTACTTTCCTTTAAATAATGTAAGTTGTTAAAAGAATATAAATGAAATATAAATTGAACAAATAATCATATAAGGATGGTAATTAAATGATTTTAAATGTCTTAGGACTAATAAAAAAATAATAATTTGGAAATTATTTGAGGATTCTATACTTCTTTTCAAGGCTTAAATTGAAATTTATATAATAAGTATGACATTTAGAATCAGTCTGTGTAAAAACAAGCATCAAAAATATTCTATTTGCAGTTGAGGATAATAAAATAATGTTCTTTTAGCATTGTTTGTTTTAGTGAACAATGAATAAAAAAAAAGAAATAGAAAAGAAATTAAATTAAATTATGTTGATAAAAAAAGAATGTCAGATTGAATAAAGATAAAGAAAATTTATAAGTAAAAGGGTACTATAAACATATTACATTTGGATGGAAAGTAGAAGAAAAAACACTTTAAAAGACAATTTCTACATCACATGGTTACATTTATGACAAAATTTATGTCGATAAAAAACCTCCTGATCTGAGTCCTAATCTCCTGACCAAAATTTCCCAATCTCCTGATCTGAGTTTCACAGTCCATCACATGTATGGAACACCCAAAAGAGTAGAAAAGTCATCAACATTGCAATTCGTACCTTGAACCTCCCTAGCCAAATGGTCCAAGCTTGTCTGGCAAAACAGCCTTTGGAGTCAGAGCAACCTGGACTACATAACTAGACATAATAATTAGTTAATAAAAAATTGTCGTTCTGAACAAGCATTAATATGAGGCAGGTGTTACCTGTGAAAGAGGACGAAGTAGGTATGAATAATTATTTAACTTGATTTTTGTAAAATTAAAATGACAGTAAATTGTACTAAGGCTGCCATCATGTATTTTTACATCTCACAAATTATGACATAAAAAAATCACCTTTATTGTATAATATGAGGCAGGCTTTACCTGTGAAAGTGGACAAAATCTGTATACATTATTTTTTTTATCTAGAGCATATTTTAACTTCAGAATCTGTTGAAAATGAAACGGAAATACGGAAACGTTTCGGACGTTGATCATGTTGTTAGGGATTTTAGTTGTGACATCATTTTCTATGTAAACAAAGAAACGCTATCATCAGGTAATGTTTTTATTCATATCAAAGAATTATCAAAAACAACAAATTTACGGGAAACAATATGATGCTCCTTCCAATATTTTACTCAAAGTCTTGAAAGAGATTTCTGCGCAAATGTGGGAAACTAAAAAAATTAGAAAAAAAAGTTGATGATTTTGAGTTCATTAGTATATATATTTTTTTTTCTTCATTTTATTGATTTTCTTACCGTAATTGGGGACTGTGTCCCCATATAATCTTCTGTTTGAGTGCCCTTTTTATAAATCAATAAGAATTTAACTCATATAGAAAATTTATTTTAAAAGTTTCCAAACAAAAAAAAAAACATTAATTGAGAAAATATCTTGATCTTAGACATGACAAAAAAGTAGTTAGATTTTAATACATTATTAAGTCTGTATCAAAAATGGGAAGATGATTATTAACTAAAAATATTGTGTCAGTGATCTACATAATGGTGCCCAGATTAGATCCTTGGCCTGTTTCTCTGTTCATTGTCTAAGAAAAACAACATTACTGTACAAATTTCTGCATATAGCTATGTTGGTATATGTACAGTAATGTAGTTTTTTTAGACAATGAACAGAGAACCAGGTCAAGGGTACCTATATCCCATGGTGATGATACACAGTGTAGATGAAAAATGAGATACATTGTACATGATGAGATTTAACAAATAGAGTTATCCCACTTTGTACTGGTTCTCCCCTATATATTTGGTCCTCCTTAAATTGCATGTCATGTCAGTTTGGATAATGTATGATTGACCTTGTGATTTGTATTGATTTTCTATGCATAAATAAGCTCTTCAATTGAGAAATATAGAATTTATAATAGGAGGTAACTCTACCTATAATTTTTTAAAGAATTATATAATTATACACAATTACTTGTTCTCGTCCTATGAAATGTCTTGCATAAATCACCATATTAGTAGTAGTATCAAGCTTTTTGTTGCAAATAAGGAGAGTTAAAGTCCAAGTCATATGTATGTAGTGCTAAGTCTAAATTTCTGGAAATGTTCATATTTCTGTCTGGTAAGAGAGATCTTTTCCTATGTAACCTAACTACTATAGATGAATTACTGAATATGCTTAAATTAATATTTTTGTTTCAGGCTTTTCAGCAATGGTGTTTTCATTTGTTAATGGGATGTATCAGAACCAATTGGGGAACATTGAAATGGCCAACAAAATGATGAGGTACAGAGTATATTCTTCTGCATTTACAATGGCCGCATTATTTGGTGGCACCTATTATCAGTTTCTTAAGTTTAGAAGAAAGAAAGCAGAATTTGAGAGAATATATGAGGAGAGGAAAGAAGAATATGAGAGAACATTGCAACTTAATCAACAAAATCATATCAACAATTCATAATGAAACATCATAACAATCACAGACTGCAGTACACAAATGTTATAATATAATTATTGTTCCTTTTTGTTGCAAGAAACTGAACTTGCTGAAGGTGGAACATATTTATGACAAAAGAACACCAGTGGCTGCCAGAGAAAGTTTTAGTAGAGTGCCACAATAATCCATAAAAAGGGATAACAATAATTGCCAAAAATATTGCACAGTACAACAGACCACAACAACACTCAATTGCAACTCTCCTCTGAAAATCACAGACATACAAACAACAATGAACAACACATGGTCCAGGTATAGCCTGATTTGGTACAGGTACAAAATGTTGTGGGTTAAAACATAAACCAGTTTTACGTGCATACCAACCTCCCCATATGTCATGTAACTGAACAAATAGTCATTTTTGGGCCCTTTATAGCTTGCTGTTTGGTGTGAGCCAAGGCTCTGTGTTGAAGACCGTACTTTGATCATGACCTATAATGGTTTACTTTTAGAAATTTTTACTTGGATGGAGAGTTGTCTCATTGGCACTCATACCACATCTTCTTATATCTAAATAATAAGACATACTAAGAAAAATATAAACATGTGGAACTTGTTAATTCTGTGTCACAGTAATTTATATTGACTATCTATGACAAACCCTTCTTTTCTCTAGTAAACAAAGAACAAGAATAAATGTTATCAATTCACCCTGATGAGTTTTAGGACTAGGAACAAGTATGTTATTATGAATACAATGTATTCTGCATGTATTGAGTGTTTCATTGTTTACATGTGAGTTGATTATATTTATATGAATTTACTGTTATACAAAATTCATCATATAATATGTATATGGTTTAGTTGCTAAAATTCAGATGATGTGTTTTAATTTATTTATTAGTTATCTCCCATTGTGCGCTTTTTGGAATACAAAATTGAAGGCTGTACTGTGACCAACAGTTGTTTCAATCTGCTTCATTTGGAGTCAGTTGGGTAGTTGTCTCATAGGCAATCATACTACATCTCTTTATTTAATACTAAAGATATCATAGGTTTTGGATGACATAATTTGAGTTAGAGTTATTTCCCTTGGACTCTATTTTGGAGTACAAGCTGTTGGTTTTCTTACATGTATTTGACCAAACAAATTGAAACATGCAATACACACAACTGTGATAGGAAGTCCTCACTAGATCGTAGTGATGAATTAAGCAAGGCAAACAGAATACAATTTTTTCAGAACAACCCTTTTTCTAAAGTCTAGCAGTTAGTTATAACAAGTTGAATTTGGCTGATTTATAGGGAATTTGTGCACTTAGACCTCCTACATGGCAATGAAGTGGGAGTAATTCTTGCTCTAACTGTGTAAATCAAAACCTATCTATAATCCATTTAAGTTCTATGGATGATAAAAAAATAAGAATTTTAAATAATGTTGTTTGCATTGCAGTTTATATGTATTTTTGTAGCATTTAAAAAATAAATTATTTAAACAAGGTAAATAATATGTAATGGGGTGAATGAACTGGCTGTGAAAGCAACTTGTCAGGTGATCTATTCATAATTCCATACAACATGATATGAAGTGTGACTAACTAACCTTGGTCAATTGTCCTTCATCATACTTGTACTTTAGTGAATGGTACTTCTATTTTCAAATGAATGGTTTTTGGAGTAATAAACTGTCCCTCACTCTCTATAGGTTGGATTGTGATATTCATATTTACTGAAGAAACCTAGGCAACTTTCTTTTTTTATTAATTTACCAAAAATTATGTTAAAGAGTTCATATTGCAGTAAGAAAAGATGTCATTTTGACAAAGGGAATAGCCCCTTGTATGTTCAAATGCAGAAGAAGGGAAAAAAACACATGTGTTCATCTTAGTGTGTGTGTGTATTTGTATCAGAGTGGAATGTTTTTTTATGTCTATTTGTTCACATGTTGAACATGAACACAGACCTCAGACAAAATGTATCAGGAGGGATGTCTCCCAACTTGTAGCAGAACCTTGACAGGGATACACATATGCATAATTTAATACCATGTCATGTGACTGTCAAGACCACTGCGGTAAATGTGTTATCTGTAACTGCAGTTACGTATTTCCCAAGATGGCAAACGATATTTTTGGTAAGTATTTCTTTTGTCGATTTTGTAATAATTATGCATTATTTTTCGGTATTTCGTGTCTTTTTTTAACATATTACTAAATTTGAAACTGAAATACTAACGTTTTTTTCATAGTCCAACTGCTAAAAATAGAAATAAGCCGTCCAAAAAAAACTGCAGTTATGGATATCACGTTCACCCCAGTGAAGACTTGGAAAGGCTTTTAATGGTTTGCATGGGTATTTACACTTGCCCCATTATCTTAATTTCTAATTTCTTGCCCAACATAAAAATTAGACTGAGGAAAAAATACACCAGTCTTTTCCAACTATAGATAAGTTTAGGTCTTGTGTCTCATCATACATGTAGATACCGGGATGACTCGAGTCAGAGTGTCACCCCATCATTTTTTTCTTTTTAAGTTGAAATTGAGTCTTCAAGTAAGCCTGGTAGCTAATGTGTGCACATAAGTTTGTTTTATGAAGAAATCTGTATTCTCTTCATGTGTATTTAGTTGAATTATGTAAAAGTATTACCAGTTAAAGTGCTATATTCATTATTATCATATTTAAGTAACTATTCGACATTCTCATTAAATGCTTGCATCATTCTAATGACGTTGTTATATATTTTATATGGATGTATTATTATTTTATATAATGAAATACGAAATCCTTTCGCTTAGGGCTAAATATTATTCATACGATGTTCATAAAAGATGACCAAGCATTGTCTAACCTTATATACAGAGTTTCTAATGAAATCAAATTAATCAATCTCCACAATTTCTTATTATCTTTTTTCATCCTTATAAAGAATGTATTAAGTACCGGTACCGCCATAAGCTATCTTCTTAATTACTATATTTTTTTTGCAAGATATTGGTGACATTTTGTATATTTTAGATATTTTTAAACAAATCTCTGTAAACCATTTTCATACGTTTTACCATAAAACCATGATTGAAAATATAGTAAACACATTTAAAACCCTTAATGATTGATTAAGCAATAAAGTTATAATATTATTTGGCCTTTATTATGTTTATTGCATAAAATTGAATAGCCTCGATTAAGTTATACGCCGTAGTATTTTAATGCAGATACGGATACTATTTACTATATATAGTCTTGAAAATTGTGAAAATAGCCCAGTATAGCTGTGGAAAGAGAAAATAAGTGGTTGATAAATTTAGTACGTGTTCGATGCACTGGAGTCCCCAAAACTTATTATATACAGATCTGTTTCGTACTGCATTACAAAATATTTTTGTATATGTAGAAAGTGAAAATAGTTTAACGAAACGAATAATAGGAAGACCGTAAACAAAATTTATCATATATGCATACAGAATGAAATTTAAATTTAAAAACCTTTATAAAGTATGATATTAATGTAGTCTTGTTTCGGGGCAATACACACAAGAAACAATCTCAGGGTTACGGATTCTTTATTTCGAAATAATCCGTAGTATAATTAATCATAATCCAAAATGTTACCTTCATAGGTGAAGGTCTGAAATACAGTAATAACAAATCACACCAGGCTGATGCCAATATGGTGAATACCTTATAAACATGAAAACCAAACTCAAAAAAACAGAATGTAATTATACAATTTTCTAAGACTAGAAAATGGTGTCCAGCATCACAAAGTGACCATCTAGAATATAAACCTCCCGCCAAAGAATTGAGAACGAATCAATAACAATAAAACCGAATTGAAACACCAAATAAAGTCACACCTGAGCGTACCTGAAATTTACACTCAGTATAGTTTAACCATGCAATAAACTTAATGTTATAAGTATAATACTACAGTAGTAATAACTAATCTTCTGAAATGATAAAGTTAAGATTAAAAATATAGAAATATCAAACTAATACATATAAAATACCACTTTATCACACAAACAAAAATCACAATGCAGTCATAATGTCACATTAGATTTTATTTGGTATCTTCAAAAATAACTACCGCCTCGGTGGTCTCCGTCGTGGTGGCGTGTTCGCCTCGAGTGCGGGAGGTCCGGTCGTGGGTTCGAACACCGCCTGGGTCAAACCAAAGACTTTATATTTAGAATAGGTGTTTGCTGCTTCTTCGTTAAGCACGCAACATTAAGGAGTAAGAGCAAAGACTGGTCGGCTCGGAGTCCGAATAATGTGTCCGGGTAAGGTGACATGTCTTTCTGTGGACTGTTACCTTTGAACTAGCACGCTAAACATCCGGCTCAGCGTGTCGGTCTAGTAAAAAGCAGTAAATATTCATATTACATAACATGTTCTCGTCCTGAATATGCATATTAAGTTGCCACAGGACGTAAAGCAGCCATCCATCATCATCATAAAAAAATAATTTACTTACGTCAGAGGCATAAGTCCTTAAAGACGTCACTTAACAACCAAATAAGTGCCCTTTAAAGTGTTGCGTCATACAGTAGGACAACCGGGTGTGCCTTTTTTGGCCAAAATGTGATTCGGCGGCGCTCAGTAGTCCTACGCGCAAAATTTGACTATTTTGCTTTAGTTGACAACTGAAAAATCGCGCGCTATTATTAACCTTTTTCATTTGTTTAGTCAACAGCCGATCGAATATATTTCAAAAGTAAAATTAAAACCATGAAAAATATTAATTATCGGTTCCAGTCTAAAATTTTCAATGTATACACTTATTTTTCTGATCCTTTCAAAACACGTCAAAATGTTTATTCCACTAAAAGAACTAATTTCTAATCTATTGATATTTCTGTTGACAACAAAAATCATAGTGTGGTTACGGGTATGATACAAAAGAAAGGATATGGGGTTTCCATCTAAGACACAAAACTAGCACACGCATGTAGCAAAACCACAAAAAGCAAGGGAACAGCGCTGTACTTCGTCTCAAAGTCACAGTGAGGCCTTCAATACAGAACAAAAAACACTCACCTCACTGCAAGTTTAAGACGGCCCAAAGCACTGGTGTGAGCGGAATTATGATGTCTATCAAGTGATCACAATTAAGATTATTTTAATTTGAATTATGATGCAAACTTGTTTACAAATCTTCATGCAGATTCCTGTCAGTCATTAAAACGTCATGCAGGCATGTATGTTCAAGCAATTAAATCACCGGAGAAACAGTTATGTACCTAGGAAGTGCAGTTTAAAGTTTAGGTTAAGACAATAATACACATCGGATGTGGTTTACCAAATTGTCACATCAACTACGGGTATACAAAGGCATGACCAACACGGGTTTGTTTTGAATATACCTGATTAAAAAATAACAGAACTGTTCATCTATCATATCAATAGTTTTAAGTCGAGGCGAACAGAATCCTACAAGACCCTTATGTGAAAATGTAGAATGGTGTAAAACTTATGAAACGAATTATTTTATAGCTTGCCATACGGTATGCGTTTTGATGCCTGTTAAAGGCCGTGTGGTGTACTGGTTTACATCCTTTTTAGCTTACCTGACCCGAAGATACATGTTCTCTTCAATTGGCGTTTGTCGTCGTCGTCCGTTAACTTTTACAAAAAATATTCTCCTTTAAAATTAATGTTCCAAGTAGAACCAAACTGGCCACAGTCATCATTTGGGGTATACGGTTAAAAAATTGTACCCGATGATCCCGACTGCCAACCAACATGGCCGACATAGTTTAAATATAATGTAGATGGGTAAAATGTAAGTTTATCTATTATCTTGAAAACCGCAATAAATAGAGAAAGCAAAAAAAATCAACATGACAATATCTACAAATTAGACAAAATGGCTGAAATTGCCAGACGAGTCCATATTGAAGTTATTGCATTTAAATGAAAATTTTACCAACAGCATAGGCGGATCCAGGGGTGGGGTGCCGCCCCCTTCCTTTCGTGGGAAAAATTTGGTTGATTATATAGGGAATCACTGAAGCATGACTGGAGCGGGCCCCCGTTAGGTCAGTCAGCGCCCCCCCCCCCCCCCCCCCCCACCTTATGAATAGTTCTGGATCCGCCACTGAACAGTTTGAGCTTTTTCTCTATTATCTTAAAACCTATAGTAGAAAAATTGAATTTTGAATATTAGAAAAAATGATCAGCAGGAAAAGACCTACATACAAGTCAACATGGCCTATATTGTTAGTCAACACCCTATTGGAGTTATTGCCCTTAACTGATGATTTTTACCATTTTTTGCGTTTTTAAAAGCATTTCAAGCGGCTTTTCTTGTCACCATGTATAGCCATTTTGAAATAGAGTGCAGGTTTAAACTATTTGAAACATTGAAACTAGTCCGTAATTATACATTCTTTGTCGAATCCATTCAAATTCTTTTTACAAATAATGTCAAAATCTAGATCGTTTGTTTTAAACTTTTTCAAAGACTGGTTCTCCTGTCTAGATAAATGTTCATTACAAATTTCCGATATATAAACCTGGCACTATGTAAGGATTGGCTTTTACCCTTTTATTTAAAAGAAAAAGAAACAAAACAGATGTCAGGTGGAATGATATGTAATTTCTGTGTTAGGTTCTACTTTCATTCATATGTCAACTCTTAAAGAGTCATAAGGGAACGACAATTTATCTCTGAGGGTGGGGGTGTGGGTGTTTAAATAAAATAGCAACTTGTAAAAGCAAAAAGGTCAACAGGATAAGATATACCAAACATTAAGATGGCCGAAATTGTCAGTCAACTCTTTAAAGGAGTTATTTTTTGGTGAAAACTTTGGTCACACCGGGATGGAGAAAAAACTGGAAACAACAAAAATGATCAGCAGAACAAGACCTACAAGTGTAGTTGAACATATCCAAAACTGTCAGTCTACTCCTTACATGAGTTATTGCACTTGATTGATGATATTTACCCATCAGTCTACTCCTTAAATGAGTTATTGCACTTGAATGACGATATTTACCCATCAGTCTACTCCTTACATGAGTTATTGCTCTTGAATGGCGATATTAACCTTTACATGAGTTATTGCACTTGAATGACGATATTTACCCACCAGTCTACTCCTTACATGAGTTATTGCACTTGAATGACGATATTTACCCATGATTGTTTGTAATTCCGCTAACAACTGTAGTAGATAAAAACTGTAGACAGTAAACATGATCAGCAAGACCAATCTGATTAATTTTGCTATGACAAGCAGTCAACGACAGGATTTGATAGTGCAATTACTAAAAAAAAAACATTCAGCTAATACACTCCTCTAAAAATAACGAAGTTTACTACATTCATGTTACAACAATTGATATTTCATTTTGACAAGCTAACTGGAAGTTATTTTATATATTATATGTGCAATTTTAATATCAATTAGATTATACCCTTCTTCAACCCCTCGATTCTCGGAAATGTCGAATGAAGTTACGTGTTGATCTTAGATAGGTTTACTGATCAAATGAAATCGACATTGTTGTAAACAGTTTATGTGAAACCCAACATTTATTGCAAGAATCCAACTTATTTTATTTAATATATCGTGGTTTTCGATGCTATTCACAATTTTATATTTACTATTTATCATGAGCGTATTAAGTTATCGTCCATATTATCAAATAACTAGTATATAGATAAATACTATTTTTGTCGTGCCTGCGACATTTTGTCTGTATCTCTGTATCTGTA